ACCATGTTATTTAATTATTCTGATCAGTTTAAGCCTGACTGTCACAACACTCATGCAAAGAAAGGGCAGATGTTTCAGAAATATAATGGTAGTATTTTATCTGTGTTGCACAAAATTATGGACAACATTTTAAATTGCCCTGTGAACTTATATATTCTTAAGCTGAATGTATTCTTTGTTAGCTCAGAATTTCAGGACTTGAGGCTTGCTTGTTTTTCTAGTGAGCAGAGTAACTTCCAAGGTAAATGTGTTCCTTCTGAAATTAGATTTTGCATGCATATAGATATTGTCTTAGTTGTCTAATAAACAGCTTTTTGTTTGGGAACTAAAGACTGGCAACTACTATCTACTGTTAGTATTGCTTGAACTGAAATAAGGAGGTGCAAAATTGCATGTGTATACAAGCACCTTTCTCAGAGGGCTTGATGACAGATAGGTGTCTTTACACAGATTTGAATTCATCTGCAACCAGTAACAATGAAAAGATAATCTGAGTAGCGAAAGTGCATTGGTTTAGATTTTCAATTATTTGCTTGAGAAATAATCTTGATCCTCTTGAAGTTGCTGACAAAATTCACGCAAACATCAGTTGTGTGGGAACAGCCCCTTGTATCAACAAGAACTGAATCTACATGCAGATGTCAGTTATTGGCCCACCTGCCAGTCCTGCATAAGAAAACATGAACAACCTGAGTCTCATTCAGTGTTTGTACTTGTGGCCCCAGGGAGAGTCAGGCTATACGACACAAGATTCAGCAGCCAATTACTGCTTTACACTTACTAAGTAATTCACTGAAAAATGGACAATAGAAGAAGTGTGCTTAATGCTTTACTCAGTTCTGAAATTTTGACTAAGATGTGTGACTGAACCAAGCAGAAGCTTGATGCTAAATCTGCTTATTTTTTAGTATTGGCACTATATATATACATATGTGTTTTTTTTAAGAGGAAGAAGCTCTAAAGAGCTGGAATATTTTGATTTGAGAATTGGCAATTGAGATTGCCTGGGGGGTGGACAGGGGTAGGAACTGTTTTATTGAGCAGATGAGAATTCTGAACGCAGCAGGAAACATAACTGACAAAGCTTTCAAAAAATGCCAGCACTGATATTAAATATATGCCTCACTCCTTTTGAGTAATAAGAGTCTTGTGAGTTAAATTTATTTCTCACTGTGGTGAAAAACATGTTCCACACAGATGTGATGTGACACTGGGAGAAAAAGGAGATAACCTTGGGGGAGAGTGCTGCCAGTACTGCCAACTCTGGGCCACAGCCCAGCCCCTGCCCCAGGCAAGGGGAATCACAAGGAACTGGTATTATATTAGAGAATATTAGAACTGAAATCTCTTATAGTCATGGCACAAGTCTATCAGCTTCTCTGTAAGTGCAAGGTCTATCTTCTAGAGCCTTCCTGACCCTGATCCTCAAGCCCAGAAACTTTTACCTCCCTAAGCACAGTCTGGTGCATGCCTCTGGCAGGAAGCTTGCACTGGCCCATGGCTACTCACATGGACAGTGTGGTTTTGTTGTCCATCTTTTCCAGAGTCAGAAGAAAAATGATGCTGTGTGAAGTGCTCTTCTAGGTGCTACTGGCAAGCATGCTCAGCAGTACCCCACATGCTCTTCTCTTTGTAGGATCTGGATGAAACCATAACTGGAAGGACCTGGAAGGGACAGCATTGCCTTGATTCTTACACAGTGATCTATCACTTTTTAAATCAAAACATGGGGAAAGCAACTGTCAGACACTTCTGTGAGGACAGTATACTTGCTGTTATGTTTCCCCGCCAAGAGCAGAGGACAAAGGCATTGAAAATCAATAATTAGAACATATGGGTGAATTTTTTTTTTTTACCCCTTCCACTCCCAGATGCTCACTTTTTCTTGTGACAAAGTATGGCAAGAAAGAGCATTTGATCTCTTCTAGTCACCCCTCCCATCCCTTTGATGAAATTAGTTGCATATGTAGGTTTGTGTTTGTATGTTTCCTAATCTCAGATAGGATCTAAAACTATATTTCAAACAAGAGGAACATAAGTGAGTACAGTTAATTACTTTTTATTAAAGTCTTTCTCTGCAGACTTCTCACAGAACAGAGCACTGGTCTCCACAGGCTTTTTTTTTTTTTTTTTTTTTGACTCTTCATGTACGTTGCTTAGCTTTTTTATATATTGACTTCTGGTAGCTCAGCCTCTTCTGTAGAAAACAAAACAATTATAAATGAAAAAAAAAAAAAAGGAGAAAATATACAAATGACAAAGAAAATAGCAATGGGCAAATATGATTCCACACAATTTCCTGATTTGTAGTATACGAGAGAGTAATGGACTTCATACCATAAGGGTGTTATGACTATAACAAAAAAATAGGGTATTATTGAAGGGTTATTTCGGATCTTGATCTTAATGATGGCAGACCCAAAATAGCAGAAGGTGAAAATGGTGTAAAAATTTACTTAGGTGTTTTATAGGAATAGTCTGCACTGTATGATTACATGGCTTTATTACAGAAAGCTTTCTCATGCAAATAGTCTGATGGAAGTTCTCAGCCTATTGTACGCACCAGTCTTAGTGGAAAGGGATTGCATTTCTCTTCTTTCCAGTTGTTAGGAACTTGTTTGTTCATATAGTCAAGCATTATAAAACCTGGTAGATTTATATATCTTATTCAGGATACTAAATTAGTAATATATTGCAGAGGAAGTAAGTCTGAAGTAGAAATCTTCAATGAAACTGTTAGGAAAATATCAAATTTTCGCCAATTCCAGTTTTTGTATAAGAATTACAGGCCGCATTTGTTTGAAAAAACGTGAGGTATGCATGGGAGAATGATTCACAGAAGGGCAGAAAAAGAAGAGAGGAAGAGAATGCAAAATCAGTGTGAAGTGAGCTCAGGAACTATTTTGAAATCTAGAAAGATGGATTTCAAGTAAATGTGAATAAGAGTAGAAGTTATCTCCTGTGTATTGGATCTCTCCTCGAAATGTTTTCTGTGGATGGGATGATCAGGAAAGGGATTTATTTTAAATGCTAGTCACACTTTGTTAGGTGCAGTCTGAGAACCACGTAATATGGGAAGAGCTTCTACATGAATAACTATATAATTACTCAGTCTCGTGTTAAAAATCTAATATTAAAAATAGATTACTTCAAGTCAGAGAAAACCATTTCATCTTTGAGCTGTTCATCACGTTGGCTGATGCATGGTGAAACTCCTGCTCCCTGTGTACAGTTTGATACTAGCTACTGCATTTTTCAGCTGGTGATTATTCAGTCAACAATGGGAAGAGATCTATTATCTATTATCAGGATGGCAGTGATGTGATAGTAACGATTTTGCTCAGAAAGATTCAATGATTCATCGAAAATCATGGAATAGGGTATCCTGATCTGAAGGTGCCACAGAAAGGCGCCACCTTCTGAGTCTTTGTGGGTTTTGTGCTGAAGTAGGATTTATTTGTGATCACACAGCACAGGCAATGTTCTCAGAACTGTTTCTAAGAATAGCAAGATGACTTCTTCAGCTGTTCTGAGTAATTTCAGAGCAGCATATATTGTGTGTTTCTCTATCCCATGAGAGCCTTTCGATCGTGAAGATACATAATTTTACATCAGTGATTTTTGGATTTTTTTTTTCATTCATATTAGCTTGACTTGTCTGAGAAATTTACTTTGCTACACAGCGTTTGAAGAATCTCTGTGGAATTTGGAAAGCAATAGCACGCATCAGCTTTAGAACTTCACATTTCTTCACCTCAACTGAGCAAATGACAAAAGATTGTGGAAAACTAAATGGTAGACTTGAAAATGAAGGATCTGAGAGAAACAGCGAAGCATCTGAACCACAAGAGAACTGTCATCAGAAGATTCATTATGATGCTGTCAAAGCTTACTGCATGTATTTCAATTGATATAAATAATCACTAGCATCTTTGTGAGCAGTGAAGTATGGTTATGGTCAGCACAGGAGATGGCAAGATTGGTCTGGCAGATTGGGGTAATTCCAAAGTAAATGTCAGCTCTCACCAGTCCTGAAAGCCATTGATTGACTCTATTACTAATGGGAGATAAAACAAAAATCAACATTATTGACGTTACGGGAGGAAGGAAAAAGAGTGGTGGAAAGATTAAAGAACAAAGGAAAAGCAATCTGATATATCTGAATCTAAGTGAATCCAGCTGAAATGTCCAGAGGTTTAGACAAGAGGAGAGGCTGCTTCCTTTACATTCCGCAGCTCTTGTTGTTTGTCCCAGGGTCAGATAGCTGCAGGAGTGCCTTAACTAATACCTAAAACACAAGGCTGATGGAGTAGTTTGGTTAGCAAATAATTGTGAAAGTATAAATTCCATGTAACAATATATCTCCTGTGATAACGTCCCTTGCACTGTTGGCCAGGCAAAAGAAGATTTCAAAAAGCGTATCTTCTAAAAGCAAAACTGAGGATTTACAAGTAAACACATGCATATTTGGCAGTATGAATATTTGTTTTAAAGTCCAGAAATAGAAAAAATGGGATAAAATATTTTGACAAATATTTATCTTATGAAACCATTTAAACCACGACACACCACATCAACACATTTCTGATGGTTTCAGCAGGAAGAGGAACACAAGCTCAATGTGCTGAATGACTGTTTTGTTTGACTACTCCTCGTGCCAGAAGATAAATGTACTTTCTTTTTCTGTTTTGAAACTTGAACTATACTTACAGGAGTGCTGCTCAGATGATTATCAATTTGAATACAGGTAATTACTAGGTTCATTCAGGAGGGCACAGCAGCAAACAGACCATATCTCAAGACTTCACTGGCAAGAATCTAAAAAGACAGGAGTCTGAAATACATCCTCAGAACTTATTTTCCATTGCATGGCCTCTTGCAGCTCTTTATGTAGTCTCTGTCCTGCAAATAGCAAGATTCTTTCTTGTCAGGTAATTGAAGAAAACAATGGTTATTTTATTAGCACTCTTGCACTGGGTTTGTTTTGGTTTGGTTTTTGTTTTTTTTTTTTTTTTTTGGAGTTATCTATAAAATCTGTCATTGACTGCCAAGAAAGTTTTGCTCTTAGATTTTTCTTGAGGCTCTTAAAACTTCTTAATTTACAAAAAAATACTTTCCTAACCCACTTTTAGTATACTTAACTCTTATTGTTCTTAATTGTTTCATAGCCAGTCAAGATAAATAACAGTTTCCAGCAATCTCAGATATATAATATTTTCAGGTATATATTTTCTACTAACTGCAGGAGAATAATGTGCAGTTAACATATTAGATTGAAATCAAGAGGTCTGGAATCAATTCATGTTCTTACCACAGAGACTCAGTGCAACCTTGGGCAAATCACAGCAGGAAAAAATATACAACACAAATCTTTAGGCAAATGATCTAGATGCTTCAGCAATAATCTAGTCTCCCAATGCATTTCCTGTGAGCTGTAGATAGAGAATCATTGTTGGTCCCTCCTGTTTTTCTGCAAATGCTATCAGACTTCTTTATTTGATTCCTTACTATGTGTATATTCAAAGCTAGCTCAGTGAGATCCTTGAGCCCTGTAGACAAGTTGACAGTACCAGTATCAAAGACTGACCAGTAGGCATAATTTCATGATAGAAAAGCAGCTGAGAAAGTTTATTAATTTATAAATACCTTTTTATATTTTATAAAATCCTTTTTATATGTTCATGCATATGTATGCATATCTGTGCATGTACTTGTGCATATGTGCATGGCTACACATGTATTTGTGAATGGCTGTATAGGTGTATGAAAGATTAAAACAAGGGCACTATGCAGATATTAGATTAATTTAGCGACAGAAGAATTCCACAAAAAACACAGAGCATAATTCCCACTATGTGTTCTGCCTTGTACTTGCCTACATTTTCCATCTAGAATGAGTAAGTGGAAACACTTCATCAGCATCCCAGATTACAAGAGGAGCAGAATGCTTATCAACTGCCACGCATTTCATAAAGGGGAAGAAGCTGTTTGCTGTAGTGAAAATCAGATGAGGCTGAAGAGAAGCAATCCTGTCTCTTCCTCCCACACACAGACAATTTACACCTGCACAGCTCAGCTATGCTGAAGCACTTTAATCAGTCTCAGAAAATCAATAATATAATTTTAAATCCTATTGTCCTCTTAAACAAAGGGGAGATCCAGGAATTTCATACCATACGCATTGCAGCTTGGGTATGATGGAAAGAACTAAAAATAGCTTCTAAAACCTGATTAAATTTATGTATATTTGCAAATTGGATTTGGTCATTATATTAACAGAACAATGCTATTTGTAGAGCAAATATATGTACTTTATCATTTACCGTGTAAGATTTAAAAAATGTATATTTACAGAACATAGAGAATAAGAGGAAATATTTAAGATGTTAGTATTATCCATGATTCCTTGACAACAAGGCAGGTTTTGTCCATACTTCTTGAGAAATGGCATTTCCTACTATAGTGCCCACGAAGAATAAGACCTATTTTGCCAAGCACTATGGAAACAGAATAATCTTAAAACCAGCCCTACCTCAAACAGTTTACAATCTAAGAAATGAGAGAAAGCAGATAGTAGGTGTTCGTTTAGTCTTTATGTCTTGCCTTGTATACTGGAACTGTAAAGAATGATATAAATTGTTGCTAGTTCTGATGCAGTTTTGTGATTTGCAGATTAAACTGAAACAGTAAGGATGGCTTCTGCCCTACTGTTCCACGATGTGTTTGAACCTACAGATCTGAATAAACATGGCAAACTCCTTTCTCACAAAGTCTTTTGATTTTCATGGTTTTGATTCAAACTTGGATGGAGGTAGAGAAGCTATAGATCTTCCAATTGCTTCCAAACCAAATTCTACATTAAATCAAGCTTCAGACTTTGATTCTGTTCTATAACTACTCTGAAAATTAATACTATTTATTTGCTCTTAAATGTTCTGAAATCATTAAAATGCTCCCATTCTAACATTTGCTGGCAGTTCACTTGTTTGTGAGTTGTGAGAGTAGGGAGAATACTGAAGGACTGAAATGGCTTTAAGGCCTTTAGGTGAGAGAATCAAGCCTCTGTCTCTAGCATCTCTAATGATTTGTTCTACAAAATGTGTTTTAAAATCTCAAAAAAACAAAAAAAAAAAACAAAACCAAACATAGGAGCAGCGATGTCTGTGTCCAGCATTTTGCTTCTCATTAAGTGCTGAAAGTAAAGCATGAAGCTGGAAAGGGACCAATCAGAGTTCCTCCAGCACTGTCCTTCAGATGAGCATTGTTTGTACCCCATGCATGTACGTGTCACAGGTAGGTAGGGGACTAGTGGCAGAGGAAAGTGCTCTTCATAGAGATAGTGCAGAGAGAATTGGATAATAGAGAGGACTGGATTAACAGAAATGAAATTCAAAGGCCAAAAAAAAGGTTATGAACAATGGACAAACGTTCTACTCTAAGATCTGGCCTCTTTATCTAGAAACTGCTCAGAAGGAGAACTTCATGAGTGCATTAACTGAATACAAAATTATTCTGAGCTACTAACTTGCCATAACCAAAGAAAAAGAGAAACACATTCATAAGCTGTATTGAAGATGCAGGAAGATTAATACCTTTAGTGCAGTGCGCATCCCTGCAGTACTTCATATGAAATATTCTGTGATTCACGTTCAAGTAGCATAAATTCAAGCTCAGGAAAGTGTTGGGATGAGCTGTCCAACCCATCTTGGAGATGGAGAGCCTGTCATGCGGGAAGGGACAGAGAGACTATGGTCTGGTTCATTGACAAGTATGGGGACTTGTGTTAACAGAGGTCTAGGAATGCCTCAAGGGGGAAAACAGCTGTTGAAGCGAGAGACAATAGTGTCTTGAGAACATGGATATAATCTGATCATAAATAACTTTAGGGTGGAAACTTGGATGTTTCCTCCTAATTAAGAAATGACAATAGAAGTCAGTTCCTGCTGTGAGTGTGGAAGTGAATTACTCTAGGTAGTTGTAATATGAACTTGGGTAGTAAAGGGGAAAAAAATATGGATGAGGTTGCTCATGTCAGCGCAGCTGCGTAACTCAAATTAATGTCGCACACCTCAATACTCAGTATTGGCTTATTTAATGCAAAACTGAGTTTTCAAATGAAAGTAGTGTCTCACCAACTGGACTGAAACCTTTTACAGTTATCAATATATCCAGCTCCCTTTGAATTCATGTAAGATATATATGCTAAAATACTGAGAGCTCAAGTACTCTTTCCCCACTCATTGATGTGAGCCATGCTGTGATATGGAAGTCAGGAAGACAACTTTTTAGTCAGTAAACAAAAAAGGCTGTGATATTATTTCTAATAACAGTGCTTTCTACCCCACCCCCCCACCCTTCTTAAAGGACAGTAGCTTAGTTCTTTCCTACTCTGTATTTACCAGCTGTAGTGTAAAGATCATCTGTGCAACTGTTGGCGTATAACAAAATTTAAGATTTATTATTTACTTACCAAAGATGCCAAATACTCCTAGACAGCTGGTGAGTAGTTATTTCACTGAAAAATTAATTTTTCTGAATTACATTGACAGGATCTAAGATCTTTTTTTTTTTTTTTTTTTTTTTGCATTTGCCACTAATCTTTGTGTCTGTGATCGCTGCGCTAACAGCACCTGGTAAACTCCAGATGACTTTAAAATCTTTTTTATCTGTAGCTGTCTTTGATGCCTCAAAAGATCTAATTTATCCATTATGGACTAATGTCTTTACTCATAACCTAGTGAGAATGATGCAAAAATACTCTTCAAGCCCGCTCTTTTTCAGATGGATTTAGTGTCCTTTTTCTTTAGCATTCAGCTCTCCTTAAGGTCTGAGAGTACCTTTTTATGGTTCACAAGTTGTTGTTGTAATCAAGTTGGCTGCAGTCCCACAGTAAGCTGTGTGACTCAGTGACAGTTGCAATCAGTGCACCAGGAAAAAGACAAAGAACTGATACATTGGGAAGCTCAGCCACGGATGAAAATATTTGGAGGGCTTTTCACAAAGTCTATTAGTTGGAGAGCTTCAGATTAATCTGAGCTTTGAAGTGTTCAATATCATTATTAACTAATGTATGTAGCATCTAACACTGCCAAGTTTTATATTTAACAAGCATTAAGTTTCAATTAGATACAATATTGTTAATTTCCCACAATAAAAAGTTTCACTAGATTGCTGTGCACTTCTATTTGGGAAACACCTAGACATGTTTTAAGAGAGGCAGGAAGTTTTACTATTTAAAAGCCACAAGGCGGTCAAGGATGCACTTAACTTGACTCATTTGCTTAATTCTCAGAAATATCAATGAGATTTCAGTATGAGCCAGAAGGGAAATACTTTGATTTAAACATTGTCGTTTATCATTCCAGAGCCTGATGTATTCTCAAGAAAACGAGAATTTTCATTTCTCAAGTACCCTGACTAGGACTTGAAGAATGCTTCAAAATCAGTGATGTTACTTTAACAGAAGGTATCTATCATTCTTTTGCCTATAAATGATAAAAATCCCTTGATGTGGATCTCTTTTGTAGATTCTTTCTAATTACTGACAAGCATTTTGGTAGTATTTATCCCTTAAGGATGATCAGAAATATACACAAGCTAAACTCTGTAGGGAGAGTTTAGGTAATCTAAGGTAAGATGTGGCCAATATACAGCAATTATACCTGTTCCACTCTTTCTTAGAAGAGAAATGTACAAAGCATCTGAGAACAAGGCAAATATATCCTGGATAGCTCCAGCTTATGTAATAGCACTCCCACCTTCTCTGCCAGCAATTCATTGCTTCTTCATGAACAGCAATGTACTCAGAAGTCACCCACAATCACACACATGAATGTAGTCCCACTCATTTGCACATTCCTATAGCAATTCCTACAGTATTACCTTGCATCAAGCAGTTTTAAAATGAACTTTTAAGGAAGAATATAAAATATACATCTTAAATAGCCTTAGGTACTCAGCAGACACATCAGTAAGGGCGATGACATGTACTCGTATCACCGAGAGGCTTTGGTTACATAAAAATTGCCATATTGTCTCAGATTTGTTGTCCATTGAGTCTAGAATCCTGTTGGTGAAGGTGACAAGTACCAGATGCTTCAGAGGCAGGTGCAAGAAACCCCCATATTGAACACTTATGTAATAGAGAGGGTTCTTCCTAAAATCAGGCAGTCCGTGGGTGGTTTATGCTTCACAGCAGGAGAGTTTATAACGCCGCAAAATGTTTATCTTCATTATGTAACTGTGGATGTGATTACCCATCTATAGGCAGCTTGGGCAGAAAGTGCCATGGGGCTTTTAATAAACACTACTAATCAGGACCTTGTGTTATGTCTCAGCTCAGAGATGTTGAAGTAGTTTAGGATCTGAGTGAGCCAAAAGAATTGCACCAATTTGCCAGGCTGATCATTCTTTAAATCATAGAAAGTGCTTGCAAAGGCTCATTCAGCCGTCTCAGTGCTGGATATCTGCTCTCAGTCAGCCACTAACCCAGAGATCCAGACTCGTCCAAGAGTTGCCAGTTCACAGCGCTGAATTCCTACAGAGTTGCACGGCTGAGCTTGAATTGAATTGAGGAAGTAAGCAAGAGGACATTTTCCCTCAAAATCATCTCAGGAAAAAGAACAATCTCTCAGACAATTGGAATCAAAAGTAGCCCAGATCTGAAGTAATTTACAATTCTAAGATAACACTCGCAATCTCTATTATTTAAGAAAAGCAAGAGTTATTTATTTTTTTCATAAAGGAATTGATTTGCTTTGTCATAAAGAGGGAGAAACTAAAGCATCCAATACAAATACCAAAAACCTTCTATGGTGGGTTCTTGATTTTTAAATTATATTCTGTTTTAAATTCCAAGTCTCCTCCCTAAGTTACAGCTTTTCCACAGGAGGCAGCATGCATTCATAACAATTTAATTGAGTTTGTTTGATGTTATAATCATGCCATTAGTTAATTTAGCACAGCTCTATGTGGGTCCTAGGAATAATGACACATGCAGCTCAATTGCTACCCTGCTCTGCAGCAGAAACAAGGAGGAACAAAAAGAAATAAGTCCCACACAGAAAGCTCCAAGTTTTAAGGTTTTTTAAATAAAAAGATGTCATTAAAATGGCAGCTAGGAGCATTATGGAAGGAGATCCCAAAGTAATCAGGTGGTGGGGTGGTACAAGGCAAATGCTCTCTTGGCATCATGTAGTGTTTTTTCTGAAGAACACCTATGATATTCACTTGTGTTTGAGCTACCAGTCCCTTTTCAGACATTGCACATCTGTTTCTGGGTCTCTTTTTGGAAGTATTGGAAAGGAAAAGCTTGGGAAAAAAAAAAAAAAGCACAGGTATGTACCTGTTTGAATCTCTGAGACACCTTTAAAAATAGAGTGGGCATGTCCTATCACATACTGAGAGGTGAGAGAAATGAGGGTGGGGTAAGTATTGTCCTCCCTTGGAAGCTGAGAGATTGAGGAAGCTCCTTCCTCATGGCTGAACGTGCTGAAAAGCTGTGTAAATGATCCCTGCCCATTTCGCTTAAAAAGAAACAGGTTTGCTCTAACTCCCTTGGATGTTGGGTGGTTTAAACTAACCTCCCAGCTGTGCACTGAAATGAATTAAAGGTGCACATACAATGGACCATGGTGCGTGGGCTGAAAGATCTTCCACCATTCCACGTTGCAGGCCCTCATTCCATCGTGCTGTGCTGTTTGCACACAGACTGCGGGTGGCTGTGCAGCACAGGAGCGTGGAGCTGGGGAAGGATCAGGAGTGCTGAGTGTGCACCCAGCATCGCACCGCAGCTTCCCCCAGATAGCACACTGCTGCGTGTGGAGCAGAAATCCGCCTCTGTTTCCTATTTTCTAGAAACTGAAATGACCGCAGTGGATCTGTCCCCAGCTGCCACCCAGCAGGCCCTACTTTAATTTTAGAGTATATTTGGGACTTTCACTTTTGAGGGTCTTTGGACCTGATTTTCCGGGTATTAGTAATAATGATCCAAAAAAAGCCAGAAAGAAATATATAAAACATTTCTGTTAAGTTTGAAATGAAATTCTAAATAAGATTCATGTGTGTTCTTCTCAAAATATTTACTTCTTAATACAACCATTAATAATTAAAAAAAAAAATTGTCTGTTTTCTTCCCTTATTTTCCTGATTGTTTCCAATATTTTTCCTAGTTTCAAAGGAAAGGGTTGGAACTGTGGAGCTCTGGGAGCTCTTTTCCCATTTGCCATATGTTGTGTATGTGTGCATTGTGTATATATATGGACACTGTGGCTTAGCCAAGGTAGTGGCAAAAATGCATCCACTGCCGGAACACTTGAGAAACAATAAAATATGCCTTACTCCATAAATCCACTACTCCAGACTCAGAATCATCTATCTTGGCTAGAAATCACTGTGGGAAAAGAAGAGGGAGATGGATGAATATCGTCTTCCATCCTTCCCCATCTGTGCTCTCCTTTAGCATACTTGACCTTCCCACAGCTTTGGAGCGTGCTGAGAGGCCAAAAGTCTTCTGGCCTGAATTCTCCTCCTCTTAATTTTAACCTGCCAAATAATCTAAACTAGAAATACACTTGCCTTAGGCTTTCTATGGAGTCAATGGAGACAGAAAAGCATCTCCAGAAGATGACTCAGATATTCCACAGGCTCTGGTACTTGGCAAGGCCAGATGTGCTCCTCCCAACTGGACAGCAGCAGGGAACCAGGGCAGTCCCAGGAGCCCCAGCTCAGCGGCAGCACCTCTGGGAGCTCCTAGACAGATGTGAGGGACTCTCCTGCATGAATTGCAGTAATGATTACAGGCTACAAAGAGAAACACATCGAAAGAAAAGTATCTGTAGCAGAAATAAGCACTCCTATCAGCCTCTGTACAAGAGAGCCATTTTGTCTCTGCCTCTACCTTTGCCTCAGAGAGTGACTTGGAACTCAGTGCTGATGCACATGTGTAAACAGAAATGGGAGACTAAAAGCAAAATGTGTTCTTTATCATATTTTCTGATTTCTTCCTCTGAGCAAGGAAGCATTCCTTATTTTTATCCTGCTTGATCCTGACTGCAGCATTTAGCTGCTGTGCTGCAATGAACAGCACAGTCCTGAGGCCCCAATTTCACTCCAGTTTGACACACACACACAAGGGCTACGCTTCAGGCCAGCACAAATTAGTCCCAACAAAAGCAGTTTTGCACTACCATTCTTTTCTCATCCCCCTCTGTGCTATCCGTTCCCTCAGGCATTGTTGGGTGTTTACCCACTCCCTGTTTAACTGCACCTCACGAAGGGCCAATCAGTTCTTATTTCCTACACTTGCTTTAGCCTGAATGCATTCCCCAGTGTGGTTCACTGCTCAGCATACAGATCTATAGCTAGCACAGCCTATAACTACTATAATTTATGAAATGTTGATATTCTGTTGAGTTAGAGCCATCTACATGAAAATTCATAGATTTTATTCTAATGTAGTTCTGCATTTTGCTAGAAAACATCTTGGAGATAATTGGATCAAGTATCATAGAATCGTAGAATAACTTGGGTTGGAAAGGACCTCAAAGCCCACCCAGTTCCACCCCCCTGCCGAGGGCAGGGCTGCCACCCACCGGCTCAGCTGCCCAGGGCCCCATCCAACCTGGCCTTGAGTACATCCAGGGATAGGGCATCCACAGCCTCCCTGGGCAGCCTGTGCCGCAGTGCCTCACCAGTCTTTGAGTAGAGAATTTCCACCTAATATTTAACCTAAATTTCCACTCTTTTAGTTCAAAGCCATTCCCCTTTGTCCTGTCACTATTAGGTCGTACAGAAAATTGGCCTCCCCAAAACCCACCATTTTATCCTGTATGCAGTAGCAGGATTCCTGATGAGAATTTAACAGAATCTGACTTTGTGAAATACTGTTATAGATTAAATCAGCTCAATTTTGTTAAATCCTTATTAGTACATGTATAATGACCACCCAGCGTTTAACTCTCACTCTGATTCTGAATGGAAGCTCTTACAAAAAAGATTGTAATGTTATCATTTACTTCAAAATGGCAGAACCTCCATACCACTTCCATTTTTTGTAAACTCAACATTAGAATCTAGATGTGAGTGCAACGATCACTGTGTTTTGTGGAGGCAGATTTCAACACTTTTACACGTAGGAGTTAAAACCTTAAGTAAGAATTGGTCATTTAAGTTCTGCAATGACTGACTGATCTGGATAGCATTACTGCTGCTGATCCTATTATGGATTTTAAGATGTGGATGCCATGCAGATCAGAATTATGCAACTTAACCCTTGTAATACATCTTCTCTATATAATTCTTCTGCCACAGATTCATGGCCCGCTACATGGCACAAGCACTGCTGACCATCTGTTCCATTGGAGATGTCACAGACATGAGTGCAACTATTTCAAGGAATGGTAAATAAGCATCCTGGGCAGAATATACACTGGTCCTTTGTTCAGTAGTAGCATAAGAAACACACTTTAGACCTGCTTAGTAAATGTATTTACCAACATAGAGTGGACTGCTGCCTCGTTGTAAGTATTCCTGTTAACCACACATTTTTAAAGATAAGAGCTGATGAGCTTTACATTTCTCATTTAAAAGTATCTCTAGAACCAGGGCCAGAGAATATTTGCAGGTCCAAGGCCCACAGCTGTCAAAATGTCAAAGCAGAGCACTAATAAATTAGTTTTTGTAAGATGCAACTAAAGATCTTTTTCCGAGCATATAAGGCCAGATTTCCATTCATAACTTTTAAATAGTCAAGTCTGTAACAACCAACTGCAGTCACAGAATGTATGTCTATCTATTTGAGTTTGTATGACTCTTGAAGGAAGAGAAGTCCCAGAGCATGTGGCACTTAGGACACGAAGTGGTGGTTTGTCTGAGGTTTCTGGATGGTGTCACCTGTGCCTGGTTTGCTTCTGCCCTGTTTGCATGGGTGGGGCTCAAACATACTTTTCAAATGAGCCACTGAGAACGAAACACCCGATTTTCTGCTCCAAAACACAAAACTAGAAGGCTCTGAAACCAACTGCTGCCCAGCAAAAGGCCACTCCGTATCAGTGTTTTCTGATGTTCCCAATTTCTGCAGAGACAAAGAGGATTTCTGATTCAATATACAAACCAACAGTTTTTCTGTCTTCTTTGTCACATTCAGAGACAGAAATGGTTTGTAAGACCTCTGCTATGTGTATGGAGCCATGAGATCATGTGCAGAAGCTACAAGAGGTAAAGAAGCAGCGAGCTCTTCTCCACTTACCTCCTCCATGCAGATCCCTGAAAGTCGTGTGGCTGGTATCACATTTGCAGTTCATAAATGCATACACTCTATTCTTAATGTAGACATTCTTAAAAGCTTTAATTATTTGTGCCAGATTACAACCGAGTCCATTTTATTGAATTGTCAAAGTGAAAAGTGTTATTACAATAAACATATTTAAGGTATTTAAAAAAACCTAGCAGATTTCTCTATCTTTTTGTCATCATCATGTCTCTTTTTTTCAGAGGTGTTTGAATATAGCTGAATGACAAATGGAGTTGGTTCCTGAGCACTCCTGTACAGGACATTGTCTGCACATCACAAGGCAGAAAGTACTCTAAAAGATTTCCCGCTGCCAGGTAGAGTAACACGATGTCCCCGTAGCTGAGTTTCAAAACACATTTTCAGGGCAGCAGGCAAGAGGTTCCTATATTCAAATCACGCATTTGAATTACTGAGAATTGTAATATTGTGCAAAATTGGGTTTCTGGGATATTTTTAGTATTTAGATTAGATTGTGCCATGAATAACTGATCCATTTTTGACTGTTCCATGTTAGGAAAAAAAATGTTTTTACTAAACAATTAGAAAATCTCCTCCAAAAGCTGCCCTGATAAGGAAGACAGCATCACAGGGCACGTTTAGGATGCGTGCAAACACGTGCCACGTGGGCCACTGAGCAGAGCGGCGTGACAGCAGCTTGCTGTGATTGCTCCATCACGCTGATGGCAGAGCCCCTTTGGAGTTTGGAACAGGAATGTTACAGTGAATGTTAACCACCCATGCCTTCTTTTGCCTGGAAGAGAAGATTATATATACATACGTATACATAAAATAGGTTCTATTTAAGATGTTTTTACTGACGATTCTATGAACCACCCCTCCAAAGAGAATTCCTCCTTCAAAAACTTGACAGGAACTTTTTCTTCAACTTTTTCTCAGAGCTTTCAATCACGAAAAGAAAAAAAAAAAAAAAGAAAAAAAAAAAGGAAAAGCCGTCCGGAAAATCCAACGATCGTCATTCCAACGATCCGCCCTCCAACCCCGGTAGGGCTGCGCTCCCCACCTCGCTACCGGCGCTGCCTTAGGCGCTCCCCCGCCTCCCCACCCCCCAGGGGCAGCAGCCCGCGGACGGCCGCGTGGGAACCGCTGCGTTTCCGCACAGGAAAGGGACAGCTCATCGCTGCTGTGCGGCAGCGGGAAGGGAACGAGCGGTTCCAGGAAAAACGGAACGGGGCTGGAGTTGGGAGAAGTGCCTCAGAAGTAGCGGATGCGCACCGTCAGCCCCCACCGCGCCGCTCCCCCGCTCTTACCTGCCCCTCTTCGCGCCTCCATCCCGCGGGCTCGGCGCAGACGGATCCCGGCGGGAGCCCCCGCTCGGGGTACCCATCAGCCCCGCCGCTCCCGGCCCGCGCGGCGCCCCACTCAGCGCGCGGCGCTGTGGCGCGTATCCCTCCGCGGCGGCTCTCGGGAATGGCGTGAGGCAACGCCGCGGGAACTACTTTGGGAGAGCCGAGCGGCCGCGGGGCTCGGGCAAAGCGCCGGACCCGGCCGGGCAGCGGGAGGAGTGTAAGCGAGGGGTGTGCGGGGGGGCCACCCGCTTCCCTCCGCCCCGCTCCCCTGCGGTTATTTTGGATCGCGCAGTGGCGGCGGAAGGAGCCCGAAGCCGACGCTTCCGCCCAGTTTTCCTGTGAGGGGGCGGCGGAGCGAGGAGCGCAGCGCCCAACTTCCCGCAGCCCTCCGCGGGCCGGGGGCTCTCCCTGCCGCACCCCCGCACCGCACCGCACCGCCGTGACGCAGCCCCTCGCTGCCGGCCGGCCCTCCCCCCCGATCCCCGAGCCGCCTTAAAACGCCGCCCTCCCCCCCCCACCGCCAGCCTCCTCCTTGGCACCGGCCCCCCCCTCTCTCTCTCCTCCCCTCCCCCGTCGCCGGGCCGCGGCCGTCTGCAGGAATCCGGCGGAGAAGAGAGGGCGGGAGGAGGAGGAGGAGGAGGAGGAGGAGGGCGGCAGCGCGGCGAGCGATGAGCGGCGGCGGGAGGACGGCGCGGCGCTGCGCCTGGCGGCGAGGAGCTGTGCCTGGGCGCCGCCGCGCCGCTTCCCAGTAA